AAAAACAATCTATCCCCAGTGAGATAGTGCCCCAGGGACAGCTTTACCAGGGAAATGGGAGACCTATTCCCCAGAAAGACTGGCTTGTACTCCTGCAGCATGGGTCTTTCCCTCCTAGATTGATTTTTTTTAAACCAGGTAAAGAGGCCATTCTCTGTCTCACCTCTTACTTAGCCTTAATCACCCGAATGGGTGGTTAGTTCAATCAAACTGAGACCCTTAGCTTAAAGACCTTAGCTTAAAAAGGCCAAGATCCCCCACTGCATCCTGGGCCATCTCCAGTCCTCCTGATCAATATCTAGCCACTGGACCAAGATGGCTCCAGAGGAGAAAGTGAGGCTGGTGTCTTTGCACAGCTCTGCCTCACTTAAATCCAATTCACTTGCATGTTACAGCATCACCTCCCTGAGTCAAGGTCCTCTTCCAGAATGAAGGACAAACAACAAATAAAGTCATGGCCTGCTACTCCTTAATCTGTAGGAAGAGGCCAGGTGGGTGGGTGAGGAGGCTGAAGAGAGAGGTGAGGCTGTAGGAGAGGTAGGCTCTAGGAGTGGAGCACCACAGAGATAGGACCCTAGAGGTGGCAGTACGTGCTGCATCGAACAAACACAGTGGACCACTTTGGGAAGGAAGCATCACCCCCCCCAACCCCCACAAGATAGTGGCACCATGAAACAAAGCCTTGACCACCCCACCCTAGTTTTGTCTCTGGCAAGGCCTAAGCATCAAGGCAGAATCCTTTCTGGTGTTTCAGTGTGAGTGTGAGTATGAGTACAGATGGGGTGGGGCTGTATTGGAACAGACACACAGTAGGCACTTCTGGTAGATACAAATTGATTGCTTGGTTTATGGATTAACTTCTAGTGAATGGATGCAGGAAAGGGAGGGAGGGGTCAAGGGAATACCTGAGGGTAGAGTGGTCAGCAGAATGTCTGAGGTTGAGAGTGTTGTATATCTTGACCTTACCTCATGTAGGTCCTCCCTAAACCTCAGTTTCCCTATCTATAAATTAAAGAAGCCGTATCTGCCTCACAGAGTCATTGTAAAATCCTGTCTATAAAGCACTGTACACAGGTCACTGTTTGCATTCTTTCTTGTTAAGTGACCTTGGATAAGTCTCTCTACTTGCATGTCCTCATATAAACAATGAGACAATCCCTTTACCTCATAGGATTGTTATAAAGATCAAATAAAATAATGTACATAAAGCATTACACACAAAAAAAATTTATTATTGGGAGGCAATTTTAGGTAGAGTACTAGCTGGGAGTCAGGAAGACCTCTGTTTGATACTGGCTGTGAAACCATGGACATATCACTCAACTTCTCAGTAAGTCTTACAGGTAAGTCTCTAAGACTGTAACTTGTATGAGAGGCATTCATCCGCAGTGAGAGAGCTCTTGTGCTGATGACATCCCATGTTCAGAAAAATACAAGACAGGATTTTTATTTATTTTGCAAATGAAGAAACTGAGTTTAAGTGACTTGCCTATGGTTACATAGCAAGAGTCCAAGCCAGGATTTGAACCCAAATCCCCTGACAGCAGAGTGTGGGCACAGGGAGAAAGGCAGAGGTCATCTCTGACTTCTCATCACTAGGTTCTTCCTGTCTTTTAAGCCAGAAAGGCTGAGCAAGGACCTGGCGCTCATCCCTCCCTCTAGCCTCATCCTGTTGGCCCCCTCCCCCTCCCTCCTTTGATGCATTGCGACTTGGAAGGCTTCAAAGTTCTACCACATAGGGCGGCATATGGAATAAAGAGTAATTAATGCCAGGGGCCAGGTTCTCAGGCAAAGAAAGCCTCCATCTCCTCCATTTCCCCATCTGGCCTAGAGCTGGGTTGGGTGGGCTCCTGCCTCCCTGTCGCCCTCCAGGCCTAGAAGGAGCAGGACAGAGTAGAGAGAGGGAACAGAGGGTCTGGTCTGTCAGGGTCCTCAGCCAGATGCCCAGAGGCCACACCCCCTAACCACTGGCGCTCCTGGGTTGCCCCTCTTTCCCTTATACATGGAGGAAGTTTTGTGGGGCTAGGATGGTGGATTTCAGGATCTCTGGCTTCCCAAAGGCCTGGGGATTGCTTGGTAAGGCCCCTGCCGAGGAAAAACGAGGACAGAATCCTGGCTGACCTCTGAGATGGTTTGTCTGAGCAATCTCTTGAGGCAGACACAATATCCCTGGACCAGAATCTTAGTTTCATAGATTTAGGGCTGGAAGGTACTCTGAGGTCATGAAATCCAACACCCTCATTTTACAGATGAGGAAAATGAGGCATGGAGCCATTAAATGACTTGCCCAAGGTCACACAGCTGATTTGGCCCAAGCTGCCACACAGGGGCAGAGTGTAAATCCAGGCTTTCCTGATTCCAAGTCTAATACACACCATGCTTCCTTCTCTTTGGAGGAGAAACAGTAGAGAAGAGAAGGGTTTGTGCCTGAGCACAGACTAGGAGGGGCTTGCTTCCTTTCTTGAGGTGAAAGGGCTAGGAGTAGAAGCAAAGGCAGGTTCTCCCAGCCTAATTATTTCCATGGGCAAGTGGAATCTCTATCCAGATTGCAAGTCACTAGAGGAACAAGGAGAAGGGAGATATAAAATCAGTTCCATAGAATTCTTATCTTCCCCCCTTCCTTTCATCCTTCCCTCCTTTCCTCTCCCTCTCCTTAGTGCTGAGCAAAGCTAGTCTAGCCAGAACTGGGTAGGAAGTGGGCTGGGCTAGCCTGGGCTGGCCTGGGCTGACCCAGCTGGCTGGGCAGGCAGTGTTTCTGAGAGCAGAGGTTGCAGGGGAGAGGGAGGATGGATGTACTGAGCTCAGGGTCATAGTTTTAACACTAATCCAACCTCTTAATTTCACAGAGGAGGAAACAGGGGCCCAGAGAGGTTAAGTGATTTCCTAGGGTCACACATCTGCAGTTGACTGATTTGGGAAGGCCTTCAGAGCTGCCCAGCTGAGCACAGGTTTGCTTCTGTCCAGAAGACCTGGGACACTTGCCTAGGACAGTGTGTGTGCGTTGAGGGAAAAGGCAGGAGTGGGCAGCCCCTATAGCCTCCCAAGGAGGGAGTTCTCCAGCAGAGAAAACCTGTCTCTACAACTTTATCAGAATGAGTAGGGCTTCCCCGAGGGCCAGAGGAAGAGGAATACGGCATAAAAGGGAGAGGGCCCCAAAGCTCTGACAATGTGAATGAGAATTTTCTCCATGCCTTCCGCAAGTCAGTGGGAAGAATGCATCTCAGTCTGGAGATGGGGGCTCAGAGCCAATGATGACAATAATAATATACCAACAGTATCTGATACTTCTGTGGCTGACAAAGCATCTTAAAGTCACCACCTCATTTTATCTTCAGAACAACACACACAGAACAGTAACCATCACTCTTGACTTTATGGTGCTTTACACTTTACAAAGGGCTCTCCTCCCATCAGTCTTGAGAGTCACAAGGATGGAGGGATAGAGAGGGGGTAGTATAAAACATTAGGGTGGTCAGGGAAACCTTGCAGCCAGAGGTGGTATGTAAACTGAGCCATGGAAGGTGGGTAGGATTGGGGTGATTAGAATAAGAATAGCGACACAAAGGAGAAGAAAATAGAAGATGAAAACAGTGCAAGATAAGGGGTTAGTGTCTGGGGGGAGGTAGCAGGGATGGGGGCTCAGGTTAAAGCAGAGTCAAAGGGTCACACTTTGAGGATCTAGAGGGCCACATATGGCCGGGAGGCTGAAGATTCCCCACCTCTGGAAAGGAAGGCACTGAAAGGTTCTGTGGAGGAGACCTGTTCGTGGAGTTTGCCCTAAGCTTCGAGATTCTTCCTCAACAGAAGGTGTAGCACTGTGTCCTCTGCCCCCTGACTCATTGAAAGGCAGGGGCCATATCCCCAGAAATCCCCTGAATACAGCCTTTTGCCTCCAAGTACCAAGGCCAGATGGGCAAATGGGGGTGGGGTGTGTGTGTGTGTGTGTGTGTGTGTGTGTGTGTATGTAGGTATGGGTATGTGTAGGTATGTGTGTATATGTGTGTATGTGTGTATATGTGCATATGTGTATGGGGTATGTGGGGGGGTGTGGGTGTGGATGTGGATGTGTGTATGTATGTGAGTGTATGTATGTGTATGGGGGTGTATGTGTGTATGTGTGGGTCTGTGTTTGTATGTGAGTGTGTATGTGTATGTAGGTATGGGTATGTGTAGGTATGTGTGTATATGTGTGTATGTGTGTATATGTGCATATGTGTATGGGGTGTGTGTGGGGGTGTGGGGGTGTGGATGTGGATGTGTGTATGTATGTGAGTGTATGTATGTGTATGGGGGTGTATGTGTGTATGTGTGGGTCTGTGTTTGTATGTGAGTGTGTGTGTGTGTGTATGTAGGTATGGGTATGTGTAGGTATGTGTGTATATGTGTGTATGTGTGTATATGTGCATATGTGTATGGGGGTGTGTGTGTATATGTGCGGGTCTGTGTTTGTATGTGAGTGTGTGTGTGTATATGTGTGGGTCTGTGTTTGTATGTGAGTATGTGTGTGGGGGTATGGGTATGTGTAGGCATGTGTGTATATGTGTGTATGTGTGTATATGTGCATATGTGTATGGGGTATGTGTGGGGGGGTGTGGGTGTGGATGTGGATGTGTGTATGTATGTGAGTGTATGTATGTGTATGGGGGTGTATGTGTGTATGTGTGGGTCTGTGTTTGTATGTGAGTGTGTGTGTGTGTGTATATGTGTGGGTCTGTGTTTGTATGTGAGTGTGTGTATGTGTATATGTGTGGGTCTGTGTGTGTACGTGTGTGGGGGTGTGTGCATGGGTGTGTCCTCACCCCTCCTGAGGCAGCCCTTCTGCTCACTGCTGCCCTTGGTCGCCCTTCCTTCACCCCTTTCTGATACTGTTTAGCCCCCCATTAACTTAAAGGAATCTTGTCCTTGGTGTTTAATCGGATGCTACGAGGAATATCCTATTGATGACAAAGTATTGATTTCACATGAAAGAGTGAGACCAAAGTCCTTTATTTACTTGGCATCTATAACTTGGTGGCTACAGATTCCCTGCCTGGCGTGGAGGCTCAGGGCCCCTGACTACTGACTTGCCCAGTGGGGAGGTGGGTGCTGTGTCCTGTAGGAGGAAAGGGTGCCAAGGGATAGAGAAATCACTCCCTTGCTCCTGAGTTTCCCCTTCCTCATGGGGACAAGAGGATTTTCCACCCCTGCACCTGATGAGGGGACCTTTGAGGCAGGGACAGAGAGCGCCATACAGCCACGATCACTGTCTTTGACAGCCTTGTCCCCCAAATGAAGACACTGTCATCCACATCCGCCATGCTCCAAGCACCATTTGTGAGGGCCCTTGTTGGGGTAGGGAGGAGGGGAAAGACCCAGGCCAGAGGTGGGGATAGGGGTATGCCTGGCCAGCCCCTTCTCAGAGAGAGATAAGCATAGTCCTGAGGTGGGAGCTCTTAGGAGGGGGAGGGTCTTTCCCCATGATGCTCCTAAGGGTGTCCGAGTTGAGGCTATAAGTCCTACTGAAGCCCCCACCCCCACCTCCGAGGAACTCGTTCCTCCCCTGGTCCCTTCCCCCAGTGCTGATCAGAATCCCTGAAGATCTTTGTCTTTCGGACCCAGGAAGGAGAGGAATCTGGCCACGTCACCAGGCCCAGTAATCCCAGGAAGGGGGAAGCATTGCTGCGATCCAAGACGCCCCTCTCATTTTTGTAGGCACCTTGGCTTTGAGTTCACTGTAGCTCCAATAACTGAGGCGAGGGTGGGGATGTTTCCTCCCCCATGATACAAATGGGGGAGACTGAGGCCCAGGGATGTGAAATGAGTATGTGATGGAGAAGGGATGAAAACTCCAACCTGGGGTTATTTTTTTTGTCTGGCATTGTCTGGATGTGTGTGAGCCCCTGTCCCCACTCCACAGGAGGGGACCCCTGGCGTCAGTGAGGGCCCTTTCCCATGGAGAGGTGGGGGAGCCTTGCTCTTGCACCCAAGGCTATGGAGGGCTGCTGGGAAGAGAGCCAGAGGGCGGAGATGAGAGGGATCACCGTGGCTGGCACTGGGCCCCAGCATCCTCAGCATGGTCACAGTTGTGTGCGTTCCATCGGATGTGAGAGCATCGGAGCAGAGAGGCCTCATTGCCCCGACATTTGACGTTGTCCAGGAGGATGAGGCCCTGGCCTGGGCCATACTGAGCCTCTCCAGGGGCCGCCAGGGCCTCCCCACAGCCCAGCTGGCGGCACACCACCCCCACAGCCCGCAAGTCCCAGGCATCATCACAAATGGTGCCCCACTGACGCAGGAGATATAGCTCCACCCGACCCTCACACCGGTGACTGCCATTTGCCAGGCGGAGATGGCCTGGATGGGAGGCGAAGGGGGAGGGAGAGGAGGAGGAGGAGGAGGAGAGACAAAATGAGGCATTCAAGGGTGGATGGGAACAAAACATAAATATCTCCCCACCTCTCCCCCTCAGTCTATATCCCAGGAACAAAGCCCCAGGACACTGTCAGTTAGGGACACACCAAGGATGGAGCGAGACATCTTCCCTGCCCACCAGACCTTGGCCTGATGCAAGGAGACCCATTTCCTGCCCTTAGAAAGGTCCTGGTCTGATGGAAAGACACGGCTTATGTCCTCAGGGAGCCTCAGGTAGGAGGGAGGAAATATGTGGAAAAGAGATGACAGGTATTTGAAAAATCTATAAACAAGTGTAAATAATAGAGAGGAAAAATCAGAATCTTAGAGGTGGAAGAAGCCTTAGAGTTAGCTGAGTTTAGCCCCTGCCTGAAGATTTCATCACTGCCAGCCCTCAGCACTGTGCCTGGCACATAGCAGGAGCTTAAGAAAGACTTGTTGATATTTTTGATTGACTCACTCTAGAACGTCCCTAGTTCTGTCCCCTGAGGAGTGAACAGAAGAAGCCTGATCCCTTTTCCACATGACAGTCTCTCAAACTTTTGAAGACAAACACGAAGTTCCCCCTAAATTCTTTCTTTTCCAGGCTCAATGTCTTTGGCTCCTTCAATAGATCCCCATATTACATAATTAATATCCCTCTGAAAGGGGCAGCTAGGTGGTATAGTGCCAGGCCAGAGTTCAGATCTGGCCTCAGACACTTCCCAGCCAGGTGGCCCTCAGCAAATCATTTCACCCTGTTTGCCTCAGTTTCCTCATCTGTCAAATGAGCTGGAGAAGGAAATGACAAACCACTCCAGTATCTCTGCCGAGAAAACCCCAACTAGGGTCACGGAGAGTTGGACATGACTTAATGACAAAGCTCCTCCCTAAAATGCGGCATTCAGAACTAGATGTAAGGTTCTAGTGTGGCCTGACCAGGCCTGGATACAGGGTGACTCGCTAGCTCTCATTCTGAACACCAGGCTTCTGTGAGTGAATCCTTGAGACCACCCACACTTCTCTGCCGACCACAGTCCACTTTTAGCTCGAGCTTGTGGTCAGCATAAGCACATGCATTTCCCTTACCAGACTCTTAGGGGCAAGGGGAGGGATCGTCTGTGTCCCCTTAGGCTTCATCTATCATCTGCATTCCATCCCTATACCCTTTTCTAGGCCCCTTCTCTAGGATTCCATGGTAATTGTAGGCTGGGAGCTGGACGTGACCTCAGAAGCCCGACCAGCCCATTTTATAGATGAGGAAACACAGCCTGTCCAGGATTTGAAGAAGGATTCGAATCCAAGACTCCTGACCCCCAGCCCAATGTGCTCTTCATTACCCCACCCTCTAGTCTAGGCAGAGCAGGGCCACTTACCATCCCTGGGAGGTACACTGGCAATCACCTTTGTTGTCGTCTCAGGAACATCCTGCCAGATCTGTTGTCCTGACTCTTCTACCCCTGGCTCTGTGAGAGAGAAAAACCGAGGGGCCGGGGGAGGAATGTGGGCCGGTCAGAGCAGAACAGGAAGTCGCAGCATTCAGGAAACAGGGAAGGGAAGAGAATAAGCGTTAATTGAGTACCTACTGTGTGCCATCCCTGTGCTAAGAGCTTTAAGAATATTATCTTCGTTTTACATTGAGGAAGTTGAGGCAGACAGAGGTCAATGACTTGCCTAGAGGCGCATAGCTAATAAGTGTTTGAGGCTGGATTTGAATTCAGATCTTTCTGACTCCAGGCCTAGTGCTGCATGCCCTGCTGCCTCTAATTCTGATTCTAGGGGAGGAATCCTCTCTGATGTGGCCAGCCCACTGTAGCCACAGAGGGCGGGATCTTTTCCCAAGGCCACCATTTTTCCTGATAAGGTGTCCGTAAAATCCCTCTTCTTGATGAAAAAGTAGGAGCTGCCTCTCTCCTTCCTCCTCGTAAGCCTCCATCCCTGGGGGAATGTCTCTGAGTCCCAGGTGTGTGGGAACTGAGTCTGGAAGAGGGCCCCAGCTTTGAGGGGCTTTCCCTCATCCCAAGTGAAGGGCTGGGCCAGAGGGGTCACGCCCACAGCAGATGGAGTCAGAGGATCTAGAGACATCGAGGCCACACCCCTTTGGATGGATAAAGAGACGAAGGTCCAGAGATGGGGAAATGATTTGTCTAGAATCATATAAGTAGCACTTAGAGGAGCTAGAAATCAAGTACAGGTCTCCCGACTCCGGAGACAGTGCTGGGTTCAAATGTCACCACTGATGCTTAGAACTGGTATGAATTGGGGTATGTCACTGAATCTGTCAAGGGAAGGGGTAGGCCTGGCTGGCCTCTGAGGTCTCTTTCAGTTCTAGATTGCTGGCCCTGTGATTCTATGTTATGTGACCTCTCTGGGCCTCAGTTTCCCCATCTGTCAAAGGAGGGAGTAGGCCTGGCTGGCCTCTGAGGTCCCTTTCAGCTCTGGGCCTAGGCTCCAACCTCCTTCCATTATATCATAGGTTTGAGTGGATACCACATACTTTGGTTATGGGTTAAGTGAAAGGGGGAAGGGGGAGAGAACAGGGTTCTGAGGCTGACCATGATTAGGTATCCATTAAACAAGGGGAGAACTTTAAAATAAGATGGGGGCAGAGGAAGCTGAATTCTAGGCACTGAAGGGGGGGACAGAAGAGGAGAGAATAAATGCTCATGTGGTCAGTAAGCCAGGCCAGCTACCAAGGAATAGCCGGACTTGGTGCCTGAGCAAGCTTTCCTCCTGGAGTTGGCCTCCATCGTGCTCCCTCCTTTCCACTCCCACGTGCCCTGGGCTTTGTCTTCCCTCCTCTCCCTGCTCTCTCCTCCCCCATCCCCCAAAGGCATGGGGCCTCCCTTCTCCATACCCTCCCTTCCCCCTTTGGTGGGGCTAGCTCCTGACCACCCCATCTCACTCACCCCTACAGATGGCACCAGCATCCTCATGGTGTCCACAATTGTGCTGGCCCCAGCCCAGGTGGAAACAGTCTGCCAGGTGGGTCTCCATGCCCGTGCAGTCCACGTTGTCCAGTAAGACAGGGCCCTTCCCATAGCCGAAGTAGGCCAGGACAGTGGCCCCCACCGCTCTCCCGCAGCCCGCCTCCCGGCACACTACCTGGGCATCGGCAAAGTCCCAGTCATCATCACACACAGTGCCCCAGCGGCTTTCATGGAGAACCTCCACACGGCCCTGGCAGGGTCCACTCCCGCTGACCAGGCGGAGACGGCCACCTAGGACAGGGGAGGAGACACAGACTCCTATACACCCCAAATGTATGTCTAAGGCTTGGCTTCTAAGGATTTCCAAGCCAAGGGCAAAAGATTCCTAAGTTAAGTCCTCCATGTCAGAACCGCCCCCTCCCTGGCTTTCATCCAGCCCTGGACAGTCCACTTACTTTTCTTTCCTGGGGCCATGGTAAGGATAGTGGTTTCCCTAGTGGGCTCCACAGCAGCTTCTGTTACTGAGAAGACAACAGGCCTGAGAAGGTTCTGGAAGCAAGAGGCCCCTTGGATTCCTGCCAGGGGCCAATCATGATCATTGGCATAGGACGAGGATCAAGTGGGGGGAAGGGTCTGAAGGACAGAGCTGCCAACCGAGAGTCCTGAAAACAATCTCTGGTAAAGTCTAGGCCCCTAGCCCTCTACCCTCATCCAACCCCATCTTCACCTCCCTACCTGACCCTTGCCCTTAACCTCCCCCAGCTTCACCCAGCTAGTGAGGAAGGAGGCAAACTCACGTGTTCCTGACTTCACATCCAGGGCTCTATCCACTACCATATCTAGCTGCCCTATTGGTAATTATCATTAGTATTTAGGGGCAGTCATGGTAGTAGAAAGGGTTCCAACTCTGGAGTCTGAGTTCCTGGGTTCAGTTTCACCTACCACCCATGTGACCTGGGGTTCGTAAAACCAGAGGATTGGACTAGTCTCTGAAATGCCTCCTAGCTCTGAATCTATGATCTGTTTACCTCCTGCTTCATCTCCTTCAGTCTGGGATCTCATGCTAAGGCTCTGGGGGACACCTCTCAGACCTGGCCCCATAGAGACCAGGCCAGGGAGAAATCCCAGGTAAGTTCTCTGAAACTCTGCATCCCAAATAAAGGTATAGGCAGATAGGTGATGAAGTGGAGAGAGTGCTGGGCCTGGAGTTAGGAAGACTTGAGTTCAAATCTGGCCTCAGACACTTACTAGCTGCGTGACCTTGGGCAAGTCACTTAACTCTTGCTTGCCTCAGTTTCCTCATCTATAAAGTGGGGATGATAATAGCACCTATCTCCCAGGGTTGTTGTGAGGGTCCAATGAGATAATCATTGTAAAGCACTTAACACAGTGCCTGGCATGTAGTAAGCACTATATAAATGTTAGCCATCATCATCATCATCATCATTGTCATCATCATCATCATCATCATTGTCATCATCACCACCATCATCATCATCATCACCACCATCATCATCATCATCACCACCATCATCATCATCATCACCACCATCATCATCATCTTCACCATCGTCATCATCATCATCATTGTCATCATCACCACCATCATCATCATCTTCACCATCATCATCACCACCATCATCATCATCATCACCACCATCATCATCATCTTCACCATCGTCATCATCATCATCATTGTCATCATCACCACCATCATCATCATCATCACCATCATCATCACCACCATCATCATCATTATCTTCACCATCATCGTTATCATCATCATCATCATCACCATCACATAGAAATGGCCCTGGGACAAGTCACCATCCATTATTCTTCTATACTCGGTGTTCTATAGACTACTGTACAGGTGGATAAAATCATTGCTTTTGTGATTGAAATTATTATTGTTTTAAACCAACCCTAATCCCACTCTCGAATCTGGCCTCATTCTAATGCTTATCTTGACCCCGACCTCACACTCTAATCTAATCCCCCGCTGTGATACTGTCCCAAACCAGCCCTCAGACCACCTCCTCGGTGCTCCCAACCCTACTCCACATCCTATTCCAAACCCACATGAAATCCTAATTTTAGCCCCAGATTCTAATCTAATTCCATCCCAAGGTGGATTCCAATTTAACTAAATGCAAATTCCAACCTTAGTCCCTTATCCTTGCTCCAATCCTATTACAGTTATAATTATTATAATTCAGTAAGGTTACCTCACATTTATACAGCCCTTTATTGTTATCCCATTGGGATGATGGGTTCATTATCCCAATAATGGGAGATTATTCCATTCCATCCTCACACTAATCCTATGAAATAGGTGCTCCTGGCCCTCCCTCCAGGGTTAGGGACCATTTAAAAAGTTCTTCTGAGGGGCAACTAGGTGGCTCAGTAGATAGAGTACTGGCCCTGGAATCAGAAGGATCTGAGTTCAAATCTGGCCTCAGACACTTACTGGCTGTGTGACCCTAAACACGTCACTTAACCCTGATTGCCTCCAAAACAAAAAGAAAAACTCTTCTTCAGATAACTGTGGCATATTGCCAGGGGTGGGCAGGTATCCACAAAAATCGCAGTCCTTATCACACTCTGGGGGTATTTGGAGTCTCCTGTAGCCTAGCCCTGTTTACCTGCCCAGCCTTGTGTCCCACCACTCTCCTCCATAAACCTTCCAGTCAACTAAAAATTCTAATATTACTTGATAGACCCAGAGCTAGGAGGGCCCTCAGAGTCCCTCTAATCAGACCCCTTCATTTTATAATGGTCTTCTTGATGCTTCCCAGTTTCTCCCCTTTCCTTAGTTTCCCTTCTGTCCCCATGAAGAATTCTACCTTCAAGTTTTGGGTTTCTAGCTGTTTCTGCCTCCTAGAGTGGCACCCTCTTTCTCCTGTCTGCATCCTACCTACCCTGAACTCCTTCACTGACCATGGCAGCCGAAATGATCTTTGATCTTGCTCCTCCTCCCCCCTTCTTAACTGAATTCCTCCAGGGATGGGGACTTATCAGAACCTGTGCCGTATGACTAGCTCTCTTTCTACGTATATGCCATTGCCTGACCAACTAAACGATAAACTCCTTAGGTTAGGGGAGAAGTTAATCATATCCTCCCCAAGTAATCAAGCTTTCCCTTAGTTCTGACACCCACCCCTCACACACACACACACACACACACACACACACACTGATATCATCCAAGTGACCACTAAGCTATGGATGCCCCTGCCCAGAGACTTGGCAACTTGGGGATCTGCTCACTCAGGAACTGCCCTGGAGCTGTCCAGCACAGAGGGTTTGGGAGGCTGTCTTCTTCCCCCTTACCTGTGGCTGGTTCGGTGAGCCTGACCTTGCCATCATGGGTGACCAGGGATGGTGAGGACATAATAGTGGGGACACTGTGTCCTATGAAAAGAACAGGTGAAAATGAGGTCTGAGGTCCTTCAAGGACCAATAAGCAGTTAAGAGGCATGCTTGCCCAGGCCAGTGACTTTATCCATGTAGGAACCTCCCAATGGTGAAACTCCCTCCACCAATACAGATCCATACCTTTCCTGCAATTTACAATCTTAAGGAGTTTCTTAGGGCACTGAAAGGGGAAGGAGCTTGAGAGCAGAATAATTCACTGGAAGTAGCCCCAGCTGGACAGTCAGAGGACCTGGGTTCAAATCCTGACTTTGATATTTTGTACCTGTGTGACTTTGGGAAAGTTACTTTGATTCTCTGAGCCTCAGTTTCCCCCTCCATAAAATAAAAGAGGTTGGACTAGGTGACCTCCAGGGACCTTCTAGCTCTAGCTCTAGGAGCCTATGACTTCCCCAGGGTCACACAGCCAGTCACATCAGGCAGAGATCTTTCTCACTCTGAGGTCAGCTCTCTAGCCATTACCCCATCTCTTTCTTGGATAATCCTGGGGACCTTTTGCAGTAGATTTATGCCACTAGCTTAGTGGCATGAATTATTACTGGGGAACTCTGGGAAGCAATATTTCAGCTACAGGTCACCCTTAGGGTTAAATTCAACCCTCCCAGGAGTAACCCAATAGTCCCTGCTTACCTTATACACCCCCCATCAGCTCCTCTCTCTCTCTCTCTCTCTCTCTCTCTCTCTCTCTCTCTCTCTCTCTCTCTCTCTCTCTATATATATATATATATTATATATATATATATATATATATACACATATATATATGTATGTATATATATGTATATATATATACATATATATATGTATGTATATATATATGTATGTATGTATGTATGTCTAGGGGAGTAGAACATGGAAAGAGGAAAGAGAAGAAACTCAATGCCTCCCCTCATTGGCAGAGACCCAGAAATAGACAGTGCCCAGATGGCTAATAAGGGATGCCAGGGGATGATTAACATTAGAGACAGTAATCAGCAGATCCGGCAGAAATGCAGAATGTGCCTGGGGAGGGAGGAGACAGGCAGGCACACAACAGCTCCTTCCCGGAGGCAAAATCACAGGCATTCAGAGCTACTTCCTTTCCACACAGAGCCAATGTCCACAGCACCCACACACACTTCAGGGATGTTCTGCAGCTAGTTGTCCTGGGTCAGTTTCTTCCCTTCTCTCCATTAGATAGAGAGGGTTATAGGGCTAGCCCTTGACTAAGCAGGTGGCTGTTGCTTCCAAGGACCAGAGGATTCAGAAACCACTCCTCCCCAACCAAATCCTGCTGAAAGGAATTCTTTCTGCCAGTCTGCCCCAGGGCCTCCAAATATCTTATTATTTTTTTACTCCCCTGGGGTAAGGCATTAACTTCTGAAAGCTCCTCTGATAATGAAAACATGGTCCCTGACAGAAGAGGTTCAGCTAACCTGGTGGAAGTGGTGCTTGTAATCCTTCTCTGTTGAAATGGCAGCACACAGGCCTGAGGGTAGGTAGTTTATAGGGGAAATCTGGCTGCCTCCTTGGCAGAGCCCTCAGGGGTTAGGGTTGGCACAGCTCAGAGAAAGAGTGAGTTTGGACTGGGGGAGGGGGTGCAGGAAGGAGAGAAGGAAAGAAGAATGAAAAGAGGAAAGAAAAAAGGCAAATGGAAAGAGGAATGGAAAAATGGGCAGCACCCTGAGAAGAAGTGGGAGCGGCGAACAATGAAAGCGTGTGAGGACCAGATCACATCTCTAAATGCTGAAAGCCCACCTTGAGCCCACTTTGGCAAAAGCAAGCTTAATGGACTTTCAGTGTGATCTTAGGAAAAGGGCTCAGTGCCAGGGTTCAAGAGGCAGGGACAGCCCTCGGACTTGAGGTGGAATAGCCTGTGGTATGAAACCAAGACAATCATGAATATGATTGTTGTGATTATTTTTTTATAATCTTTTACATCTATAGAGTGCTTTATGGTTTACAAGGGGTTTTCCCAGTGTGGTATAAAGAAGACTAGAAAAATCCCAGCTTTGCCACTTCTTAGCTGTGTGACTTTAGACAAGTAACTTAACTTCTCTGGACCCCATCGTCCTAATCTGCAGAATGAAGGCTTTGGACTGGATGGTTCCTAAGCCCTGGAGCACCTTGGACATTTGTGATTCTGTGATCTCAGTTGATTCTCACAACCCTGAAGGGGAGGCAGGATCAAAGGATCCTATAGTTAGAGCTGGAAGGAAGGCACCTTAGGGTCCAACAAGTCCAAGGCTCCTACTTTACAGATGAGCAAACGAGTTACAGTGACTCACCCAGAGTCACATAGCTAGTCAATGTCAAGGTGACATTTGAACCCAAATCTTCCTGACTCTAAAACCAGTATCCTATCCATCACACTATGGCAGATGTCACTATTCTGAGACCCAGAGAGAAGCTGAATCACCCCAGGTCATGCGAATGGCAGAGCTGACACCGAGAGCCAGATCTCTTACTTGCTAGCTCAGGCCTCTTTCTTCTAGAACACATTGTGGAGGGCTGGGTGCAATAGGGTGTAGTCTCACTGGCACATAGGAGGAGCTTAAGAAATTCTTGTTGCTGATTGGTGCTCCTCTCCCAGTACCTGAGCAGATGACACCAGCATCCTCGTGGTGCCCACAGTTGTGGATCCCCCACCCCAGGCTGGGACACGCTGCCAGCCGCAGCTCTCGGCCATCGCAGTGGACGTTGTCTAGCAAGATGTGGCCTGTGCCATAGCCAAAGTAGGCATTGGTCTTCGAAGCCACGGCGCTGCCACAGTCCAGTTGGCGGCAGACCACAGTGGCATCTGGGAGCCCCCAGTCATCATCACACACAGTGCCCCATGTACCGCCATGCAGGATCTCCACCCGGCCTTGACAGGGGTTGGTGCCTCTCACTAGGCGGATGCTGCCATCACCTGGGAATGGTCAAGGGACAGGAAAGAATTATACCCATAATGCCACATACCTTACAACCCACAAACATGCTTCATGCATTGTCCTGCCAGTCCACAGTATATCACAATGCCTATACAATGTTCAGTGGTCCCTTCCCATTCATAACTTCCTGAGGCCCTCTTCCGTCCCAGCCAAATAGGTAGGGAATGGCCAAAAGGTCTGCCCAGTGAAGATTACCTTTCCTAAAACATCATTCTGATCACATCATTTCCAGGCTTATTACTCATTATTCCCTTTCTAGAATTCTGTGTTCCAGACAAATTGGGTTCTTGCAGTTTCCCACACAAAACATTCCATCTCCCTTCCACGTCTTCGCACTGACTGGCCCTCACACCTTAAATGAACTCCCCCTCATCTCCATGTCTCAGAATCACCTGATTCCCTAAACAGGGAGCCTGGTTCAGATTAGATGCCTGCCTCCTGCGACAGGCATTTCCAAATGTCCCCAGTTGTTAGTTCTCTTTGCTAAAGTTACTTCATGTTTACTATTAATAAATAGAAATTCTTCTTATTTACTTAAGATCATAGCTCTAGAGAGGAAGAGATTGCCCAGGACCATCTGGTCCAACACCTTTATTTTATAGATGGCAAACGTGAGGCCCACAGAGGCACAGTGACTTGCTAAGGTCTTATTTGTGGAATTGTCACATCTTCCAATAGAATGTATGCTTCTTGAGGGCAACTCTTATTTACTTTCCAGCAAGTGCCTGGCATATATTATGCACTTAATGAATATTTATTGGCTGAATAAATAAATGAAACCAGCTCTGGAGGCTAGGAACTAGGAGAATCTTCCCCAGCTACCTACCTATCCCATTCTTTGGGGTGACGGTGATGGGGGCTCTGCTTGTTAACACTTTCCTGGCCACCGTTGGTAAGAGCTCTGAGAAGGGAAAACATTGGGGTGAGAAGAGAATAACTGAGCAGCTGTGCTAAGTCCTGGGGGAATCTGGTATCCATTCCTGTGGGTCTTACCTGCCCCAAGGAACTCTGGATGGGAAATATTAGCTTCTCAGAATCTTAATGCAGGAGACAGATGGGGCAGTCGTTGACCATCGGAAAGGGGACGCAGGTTCCAAAAACTCAATAGGACTGTCTCATAGATTCTGTCTCTCTTTTTTTTTTTAGGCAACTGGGGTTAAGTGACTTGCCCAGAGTCACACAGCTAGTAAGTGTCAAGTGTTTGGTCTCAGGCCGGATTTGAACTCAGGTCCTCCTGACTTCAGGGCTGGTGCTCTATCCACTGTGCCACCCAGCTACCCCTTGTCTCATAGATTCTGTAGGGCCATGTGATCACAAACACGAGGTGAGAAGGGGTATGTGAGTGTGTGTGTGTGTGTGTGTGTGTGTGTGTGTGTGTGTGCAGGAGAGACAGACAGAAAGAAACAGAAAAAGAAAGTTGGAGATGGTGACAGAGACAAAAGAAAGAGGCAGATCTAGATACAGAGACAGAAATAGGATGAGACATGGAGAGAGACAGATAGAGAGACATACACAGTAACAGAGATACACAGAGAGACATATATGCACAGAGGTGTTTTGGCCCCAGGCAGCCTTGGAAATTTTCTAAGGCTAACATCACTCAGGGGAGCTAGCAAATGCTGATGAAATTTCACCCTGCAAACACTCTGAACAGAGGGGAGAATTCTTGAGCAATAGGAGGAACTGGGGGAAAGGCAGTTCATTGCCCAGAGAACCATAAACTCCCAGGGTGGGAAGGAACCTTTTCGTTAACCTTTTATTCCATCCCCCTGCCCTCAGGCAAGACAACATCCCAAATTTTCCAGGTTGTCTTCAGAGACCTCAATTGGAAATTTAAAGACATGAGTTCAAATTCTAGTCTCGCCAGTAATTTATTGTGGGACCATGGGCAAATCACTTTTGTTTTTGTTTTTTCTGAGCCTCACTTTCCTCTGTATAAGCTGAAGGCAATGATTCCTTTCCCCCTCACATAGTTATTGTGCAAGCAGAGTAAACTGAAGAACAAATTAAAAGTCCTCTTCAAATGTGAGGAATCATCATCCTTAAAGGATTTTCAAGAAGAATCTGATCAGAGTTTTTTAGATGTGGGACATCAGAGATTGTGAGCTATTTGAAGCCAAGGATGGACTCTTTAGGCACCTTCTTGATATCTCCAGCCTCTAGTGAAATGCTTTAAATAAAATAGATACTCAGTATGTCCTTGCAGATCATGATACATCTAGGGAAACTGAGGTCTGGAAAAGTGAAGGGACTTGCCCAAGGTAATATAGAACCAGGATGAGAACATGGGTGAGCCTTGGCTCCCAGTTCTAGGATTTCCCCCACTATGCCGCACTCTCTTCTCTTCCTCATCTCTGCTCCCAGCTCCCCAGTCCCCAGCCAGATGAAAAGGGACCACATGGTTCTGAGGCCCTCTTGTGCTTCCTCTGTCCCACTCACCATCACACATGACGGCCACATCCTCGTAGTGATAGCAGTTATGGACACCCCAGCCACGGCTACCACACTCACTCAGGGCCGCCTCCTGGCCCTTGCAGTCCACGTTGTCCAGTTGGATGGGGCCCCGGCCCTGGCCAAAGACAAGGGGCAAGGGCACGGGCAGGGCATACCCGCAGCCCAGCTGGCGGCAGACTACGTTGGCATCTACCACGTCCCAGTCATCATCGCACACGGTCCCCCAGGAGCCATTGTACAAGATCTCCAGCCGGCCCTGGCAGCGGCTGGGTCCCCCCACCAGCCTCACCTCTGGGGGCACATGGGGGCCAGGGGAGGGGAGGGAGCTTACTTCAGGGTAGGGCAGAGGACAGTTCGCAGAGCAGGCCAGGGGTGGGAGGCACCCAGATCCCCAAAGTATGGGATTCCTGAACCTCCTCACCCAACCCATCCCACCTCCCCTTCAGGGACATTTTAAATTCGTGTTTCCCACCCCATCCATATGTTTGCTCCTCTACTCCCATTTAGTCCATGGTCATTAGAAAGCTAACCATACCCTTAGCATGGCCCCACCCATCAGGCTTTCTATATTTGTGACAAAAGGGAGAACGAAGAGGGACAAACTCATCTAGTGGGGCTCTGTCATTGATTCAATCACTGTGAGCCTTTCCCTCTCTATGGTCTCAGTTTATCTCATCTGTAAAATGGGGGTGGGCATAGCTTCTTTATTTAAGATTCTGGGGTGGGGGGCCAGGGTGAAGGACCCTCCAGTTCAGTGTGGGAGAAGGGAGGCCTATGGCTTATCTAGACAGGAACCCCATTACCCCACCCCACCCCACAGAAGGTCCTACCTGGAAAGGGTAATGGAGTAGGCTGCAGGGTGCTGCCTGAAATAGAATGGAGAAGAAGATCAGATGGGTCTGCCCAGCTGGGAAAAGCACCCGAGGAGTGTCGCTGCTCCCTGAGTGTATAGTTAACTCATTGCTTTTTACACATATCTCCTTTCCATTCCCACTGCAACCATATAAACTCAAGGCATCAACAGAGCATGTCTGGATTATTGCAACCACCTCCTAACTGGCTTCCCCACCTCCAATCTTTCCCTCTCCAATGCATAGGCCACACGATCATTAGCACGATTTTCCTAAGGCACTAATTAGATCATGCCATTCCCTTACTCTGAGACTTTCAATGGCTCCCCACTTTCTACGTAATAAGGCTTAACCTTCTTAGCTTACAGCGTTCTCCAGAATCTGCCTTTAACTTACCCCGTCCAGCCTTCCACTATTTTCCCAGTACTCTACACTGACGGAGATACTCAGGGCTCCTCAAACACATTATACCCTTTGCTCTAATGGACTGCTTTCCTACTCCCTTCCCTTTCTGGCTTCCCCAAATCATTATCTCCCCAAACCTTCAAAAGCCAGTTTTGAGTAACCGCCTGCATGAAGTTTTCCCTGATTTCTCCCTTTCCCTAGAGAAGTGAGTTCTCCCTCTGAATTCTCCACATCCTTTGGCTCTACCCCTCAAGACACTGGCCCCATTCTGCTTCAGAGCATCACTTGTGCATATCCCATCTTAAGCTATGTCCTTCTTCAAGCCAGAGATTGCTTCAGTCATCTTTATATCTCCTACAGGACCAAAGACCCTGCCAAACAGTTAAACATCACACACTTCTTAAGCAGCTACTATGTTTCAAATTCTGAGCTAGGCTCTGGTGATACAAAGATGGAAATGAAATGTCCCTTGAGGCTTACAATTCTCCAGTAAAGAGGAAGGATCTAGACACTTACAAAAAAGAGGTGGTGCAGTGGATAGAGCACAGGGCCTGGAGTCAGGAAGACCTGAGTTCAAATCTAGCCTCAGATACTTATTAGCTGTATGACCCTGGGCAAGTCACTTCACCCTGTTTGCCTCAGTTTCCTCATTTGTCAAATTATCTGGAAAGAAAATTGGCAGACCACTTCAGTGTCTTTGCCAAGAACCCCCCCAAAAACCCAAAAAGGGGTCATGGAAAGTCAGACACTACTGAAATAACTGAACAACGACTGCCTTGAGGGGAAGGGCACCAATAGCTGGGGGACCAAGAAAGGCGTCATGGAGAGAAAGGAAACCAGAGATTCCAAGAGGCAGAGATGAGGAGGAAGAGCATTCCAGGCACAGGGGGTGGCAACTGCAAACACAGAGAGGCAGGTGATGGAATGGCCAATCTGTCTGGGATCCCAGAACTTTGGAAAAGGAGGAAAGTGGGATAAGGCTGGAAAAGCAGGATGGGGTGGGGCTGCAACGGGTTTTAAATACCACCCGGAGGAGCTCATATCTGAGGCTGAGGTAGAGGGAGTTGCTGGAGTTTATTAAGTAGGTGGGGCCTGGCATGACCAGACCTGTACTTTGGCTCTTTGGCAGCTGTGGATGAGGGCTTGGGGTGAGGAAGTCAATAAATAATTTGTCAAATGAATGAACTTGATTTTGGAATTGAACACCTTCTTCACGTAGACTTCTCTGCTTAGCCACAAGCTGAAAGCATTTCCTCAACTTTTCCTAGAGTCCTGGGACTGGATATCTTTCTTGCCTTTGCTTTATATTACTATTATTTGTGAAGCTGCCAGTTAGAATGTAAGCTCTCTGAGGGCAAGGGCTGGGTGGACATCGTTTTTGTATCTCCAGCTCTTATCATTACTTTGTATACTTTTGATTCTCATTCTCCCAAAAGACAAAGTTATCTCAAGAATCCCTGGTCGCCCTGAGGTTCTACCTAGTTTATGATTGAACTACATGATTATGTTCATTGAAAATCCGTATCTTCAGACTTTCGCTCTAGCCTTCATCTCTGTCTCTTCCTCACTGGAAACTTGGACTCTTCCCCAGAATCACTGTGGACTCCTGGGTTTTCTCCTGCCCCATCCAAACCTCCAGCTCACTTCCAGGCCATCTCCACACACCCCTCTCTTTTCTAGCACCCCTTTGTGTACTGCCTTCCCCTATCATAATGTAAGCTTCTTGAAGGCAAGGGGTTCAGAGGAGGGAAAGCTCACTGTGCCCAGGGAGGGGGAAGGCAGTGGTGGGAATCAGAACCAGAAATGACTTTAGAAACCATCCAATCCAATTTCCCCGTTTTACAGAAAACTGAGGCCCGAAGAAAAAGGTCACTCAGTGAGTTAAGGTTGGAGCTGGGCCTTAGTACCCAAAGCTCAGGATCACCAGGCCAGGGCTTTTTCCATCACCCTAGTTGAATGGCTTCCGTTTTCTCACATGTAAAGTGAAGGGCATTTGACTAGATGACCTTTACCATGTCTCTTTCCAGAGCTAACATTCCCCGATCCTCTCAGGGAACTTCGTATGGCCTGGGAGCTCCTGCTGAGGGCTGGCTTGGCCCAAAGGTGGGTGTTGGCCAACTCCTGGCTCCATAATTGCCCAAATTCTGCTCCTAGGCCAGAAGATGTGAACCACCACGCCCCTCCTCCCCTTCAGTTCCATCCAACCATGCCTTCCTCTCCTCTCCCCTCTTTTCACCAGTATCTAAAGTCCTAGGAGCACAAGATTTAGAATCAGGAGGCTCTTTTTTGGTTACCTAGTCCAATTACCTCCTTATTTTACAGAGGAAGAAACTGAGCCAGGAAGGTAAGAGACTTGCTCAAGGTCACATCTTCTCAGTTGCAAAGCTGACATTCAAATCCAGCTCTCCTGCCCCTCCACCATTCCTAAGTCTGGGAGGAAAGTGACTGCCACCAATGTTCACAATGAGGGATTGGGGATCCAGTGTGTGCTCCCTGAGGGTGGGAGGCAAGAAGAAGGGAGTGTGGCCTTTAAAAGAGGAACCCAAGAAGGCACTGCTCATCGCAAAGGAATCATTCCTGCCTAGAACTGGAAGGGACCTCAGAGACCCCCTCATCCATCCCCTCTTTTTCCTGGTGGGGAAACTGATGCCCAGAAAGAGGAAGGGACTTAGAGGATTATAAGATACAGAGCTAGTCCAGAACTCTCATTTTAGAGATGAGGAAATTGAGGCCCAGAGAGGGAAAGTTATTTACCTAAGGTCACACAGCTAGTAAGAAACAGAGGCAGGAGTCAAACCCAGGTTATAAAATCATAGATTTAGAGCTAAATGGAATCTTGGAAGTCATCTAAATCAATCCCATTTTATAGAGCAGAAAACTGAGGCTAAGTTAAATGACTTGCCCAGTCACACAAGTAATAAGTGACAGGGTCACAATATGAACCCAGGTCTTCTTTCTTGAAATCAGGTGCTCTTTCCACTGCATTAAGGGAGATGTTCTGAGGCAAAGGAAGTGGATAGGGTACCTTCCTGGGTCCGATGACCTCATCCTTCTATTGGTGACTTCAAAATGCTTCTCGCGCATTCATTGAGAACTCAGGAGAAATCCTTTGTCACATTTTCAAATATTCACAGGATTACAGCTATAGGATGGAAAGGACCTCAGAGGCCACCCAATTCAACCCTTTTATTTTACAAATGAGGAAACTGAGGCCCAGGAAGTGACTTGCCCAAGGTTACCGAGGTAAAATGAAGAGCCTCTAAAGGTCTCTCCCAGTTCTAACTTAATTATGGGATGATTTTCAGCCTTCCCGGATCATCCAATCACCTCCTTTCCACCCCACCCCCACTCCCACAAGACTGTCTTTCTATTGTAAATCCCATGCTGCTAGGGGAGAGGAGAGGGGATCTCTTCTTCCTTGACCTCTGTCTGGTTCATATACCTTCTCTTTCAATGCTTAACCCAGCTGGAGGAGCCCAGCTCTCTCCCTCCCTCCCACCTTCCTTCCCTCCTTCCTTGCTTTTGTCCTTCCCTCTCTCCCTCTCTCTCTCTCTTTTCCTCCCTCCCTCCTTCCTTCACTCTCTTCCTCCTTGCTTCCTTCCCTCCCTCCATCCCTTCTTCCCTCCTTCCTTGCTTTTGTCCTTCCCCCTCTCTCTCTTTCCCTCCCTCCCTCTTTCTCTCCCTCCCTCCTTCCTTCACTCTCTTCCTCCTTCCTTCCTTCCCTCCCTCCTTGCTTCCTTCCCTCCCTCCATCCCTTTTTCCCTCCTTCCTTCCTGTTAAAGAAAGCAGGTTTACTTAATTATGGCGTAAAAAAAATATTCAACAAGGATCCTCTTGCTAGCACTTAGGTTGAGTAGACACATCCCCCTTTCTCTTTTTTTTCTTCTCTCTTTTTCAGTTTTAATTTTATTTTTCTTAACCGTATTACGCCACACCTTCTGAAGGACCCCAGGACCACTAAGGGCTGGCCACAGCCCAAACCACCCTTTGTTTCTGAAGCTGCGGCAGCAAGACAGATCTTGGGTGGTTTGTGGAGCCAACGCGCCCTCTTGTGGTCGAGACCTGTAGCTGCACGTTTCATTCTCAGAGATGCAAAGTGGGGAGGTCGGAGAGCAGAGAGGAAGATTTTCTTCTATCCCTGCTTCTTTAGCTTCCTAGGGTGATAGGATGGAAGGGATGATGAAGGAGCAGCACGGGCCTGAGCCCTGCTGGGAAAGATTGGTTGTGGGAGACCTCTTCCAGCCCTCCAGAAGGAGGGCCCCTCCCTAGGACTAACCTATCCTTTCCCCAAAGAATGTCTGGGAAATATCTCCTCCCCCTCCATTTCACAGAAGGCGATGGTCTGTGGAGCTAGCAAAGAGGCCTCATTTAAAACAAGACTTATGAAGGTCCCCTCCCTCCCCTCTTTGGAGCTCTGGGGCCTCTGGGCATGGAATGCTCCATGTCACCATGGACTTGGTTATGTGCTAGTTCGTTCTGCTGAACTGTGCTTTCCCCCTTATTCAACTTTTGTGTGTGTTATAAGGGTTGGCTCTGGAGGGAGAGGGGAAAAGGCGAATATGCTGGGAAGTGTAGGTGATGTTAAAAAAAAAACAAACAAAAAACGCCGTTTTGGAATGGAGGAACAAAGCAGGCTGAGATTTCACCCTCCTCCTGCCTTTCTGTGGCAGAAAAAGCCCTTCCTCCTTGCATCGGATATGGGAGAGTCAGTCTGTCATTTCTAAGGCCAACCCCCGTCACCCGAAGAGAGGGTCTGGGGCACTGGGAAGAAGCAGGTCCTGGGTCCCAAAGCTGCCACTGATTTCAGTAGCTGCTGAGTTTCAAAGTTCTCCAACCACTTCGCCCCAGAACAAGATGGAGAGGTTGGCATCACAGTTGTTTTTTTTAATTTTTGGAAGACCAATGATTTCATTGGCATGAAGAAATTCACTTGATCGAGGTAAAAGCAGCAAATGCTCTGCAGATTATATTCTTAGAGAATTGAAGGGGCACTGTCAAAGCTTAAGGGACTTGGCCAGAGTCACCGAGGCAGTGGAATTCGAATCCAGGTTGCTGTTTGTCCTTCATTCTGGAAGAGGACCATGACCTCAGGGAGGTGATGCCATGACATGCAAGTGAATTGGATTTAAGTGAGGAAGGGCTGTGCAGTTACCAGCATCACTCTCTCCTCTGGAGCCATCTGAGTCCGGTGGCCAGATATGACCGGATCAGAATGACTGGAGATGGCCCTGGATGCAGTGGGAGACCTTGGCCTTTTTAATCTAAGGTCTTTAGCAGGTCTCAGTTTGACTAAGGCAGCACCCATTCCATGATTAGGTCTCCCTGGCTCAGAGACCAGCTGGTTATTCACCATGCAGTGGCTACCTCAGTATAGCTACTATCATTCCCATTTTGCAGATGAGGAGACTGAGGCCCACATCACACAGCTGCTAAGTATCAGAACAGGCCAGCACATACTATCCACTCCGGCACTCTGCCTCTCCCTCACTTAATCTCTCTCGACTTGTTTCCTCATTTGTAAAATGGCAGGGTTCGATCGGATAATTTGTAAGTCTTTTCTAGCTAGAAAGCTATTCTTCATGATTCTAAGTCTTCCCTGATCCCTCCAACCCTCCCCTCTGCCCACTCATATGATCTTGTATTTACATATCCATGTAGCATTTTTGAGCCCTGCTCCCCACCCACCCACTCAGAGGAATGTAGAAGGGTATGGGACCTTTCTTCTGGAGTTTGAAGGGCTAGCATGTGGGGGCAGCTAGGTGGTGCTACGGCGGATAGAGGCTGGACTCATCTTCCTGAGTTCAAATCCAGACTCAGACACTTACTAGTTGTGTGACCCTGGGCAAGTCACATCACCCTGTTTGCCTCAGTTTCCTCATCTGTAAAATGAGCTGGAGAAGGAAATGGCAAACTCCTCTAGTACCTTTGCCCAAGAAAACCCCAAATGGAATCATGGAGAGTCAAACACGACTGAACAACGAAAGCATGTAGGAGAGGGGGATGACTTGTGCTTGGCCAGGAGCAATGGACCGAGTGTGGTCAGGAGACAAGATGGTGCAACAGAAAGAACATTGTCTGCGGAGTCACTGCCTGTGTGATGTTGGCTGGATTGCTGGACCTGGAGTCAGGACAACGAGTTCAAATCCTGCCTCGGGTACTCGCTAGCTATGTGACCCTAGACATGTCTCTTTGCCTCAATTTCCTCATCTGTAAAATGGGGATAATAATAGTCTCTACCTCCCAGGGTTGTTGTGAAGATAATAAGATAATCGTTTTTAGACGCTATGTCAATGTTGGCTATTATGATAGGCCTCTATAAAATGAAGGAGTCGAAGCAGATGGTCTCTCAGGACGCTTCCAGTATTAGATCTGTGACAGTCATAGACAAATTCCAGGTCAATATAGGGAAGGCCATCTGAACAACCAAAGCTGTGCAAATAACAGGATGCCTCATGGTATAAGGACAGTTAGTAAGTGTCTTGAGGCCAGATTTGAACTCACAAAGATGAGTCTTCCTGATTTCAGGTCTGGCACTCTATCTACTAGACCACCGAAGAACCCCTGATATATACAGATATAGATATAGATATACACACACATATATGTATGTATATGTATAGCTATATTGACATGTGTGTATATATACACACATGTATGCATGTGTGTATGTCTAGATATATTTGTATGTGTGTATATATATATATATGTGTGTGTGTGTATACACACACGCATATATTCAACCACCAGACAGCTTAGAGATCCTTGTACTCTACTTGTAAAAGAGCTGTGATCCAATATTTGCCGCAACGTGGTCTCACACTGACAAGTAGGGGTGTGATGGCATCACTCACCCAACGGCAGGAAGAGAAAGGCCAGGGCAGGTAGGAGGATGGGGCAGATGGTATTCCTTTCTTCTGGTCTCCACCCTCTGCTCGTCTGAACTGGGCAGGGACCAATTCTCATTTCTGCTTCTCTCTTTGGATTTGGAGCGTCTTCAGAGGGTCTCTCCGGGGAGTGGAGAAGTCACAGCTGGAACATCTGGACGTCCAGGTCAAGGCCCTGGGGGAGCGGCGCTAACCAGGAGAGGGCAGAGAGGGAAGAGTTAGGTCTTTGCCTGGTAGTGACCAGTCTTCGCAGGTCACCAGTCCCCACCCCCAGCCCAGATCGCCTTCCACTTATACACCTATATCTACACAATTATCTTCATGTTGTCTTGCCCATTAGAATGTCAGCTTCCACTTACTAGCTATGTGACCCTGGGCAAGTCACTTAACCCCATTGCCTAGCCAAAAAAAAAAAAAAGAATGTGAGCTTCTTGAGGGCAGGGGTCTTTGCCTTCCTTTTTTCACTAGGTGTCTATCCTCCATCCCTGCTCTTCTCCACCTCCTGGCTTCCCTGGTTTCCTTCAAGTCTCAGCTAAAATCTCACCTTCTATAAGAAACCTTTCCCAGTTCCCAGTAATGCTAATGTCATCCCTTGGAGATTACTCCCAATTTATCATGTATATATCTTGTTTACAGGGAGTCGAGGTGGTACAGTGGATAGAGTCTGTCCTGAAGTCAGAAAGATCCAAGTTCAAATCTGGCCTCAGACACTTCTTAGCTATGTGACCTTGGGCAAGTCACTTCATCTGATTTCTCTCAGTTTCCTCATCTGTAAAATGAACTATGGAAGGCAATGAATCCAAACCATTCCAGTATCTTTGCCAAGAAAACCCCAAATGGGTCACAAAGAGTTGGACACAACTGAACAATGACTGAGCTCTTCCCACCATTATATTGTGAGCTCCTTCAGAGTAAAGGCTGTCCTTCATCTTCTGTGTATTCCCAGCACCAAGTCCAGCGTCTGGTACATTTGCTGCTCAGCCATTGTCATTTCAGCCATGTCTGACTCTTGGCGACCCCATTTGGGGTTTTCTTGGCAAAGATACTAGATTGGTTTCCCATTTACTTCTCCTGCTCATCTGACTGAGGAGGAGGAGGAAACTGAGGCACACAGGGTGAAGTGACTTACCCAGGGTCACACAGCTAGTAAGTGGCTGGGGCTGGATTTGAACTCGGGTCTTTCTGACTTCTGGCCTGCACTCTATCCACTGCGCCTGCCGGGTACACAGTAGGCACTTCATAAATGGTTGCGGCCTCCTTCATTCTTCTTTGGGCTGCTCCTGACCGTCCGGGATTCCTTCATCTCCCTCTCTCTTCCAAGCTATCTTTCTACTTGTGTTTGTATACTCAGGGTGAAGCACAGTGCCTGGCACACAGTAAGTGCTTAACGAATGTCTGTGGGCTAACTGACTTGGGCGGCGACAGAGAAAGAAGGGTCCCATTCTCCTATCGCTCTGGAGCTGACTGGATGTATATGCTGGGACTCAGGGCCCTGCTGCTACCCCCTTCCAGGGAAATCGTCCATGGAGCAGATGTTTTCTCCCTCAACTCACTTGTTGGAGTCCAGCCCTGCTCCCCTCATCCCCACCCTCTTCCTCCCCCAGACCATCTAGATGAGTGATGATAAATAAACCTGGGCACTGAGGCAGAAAGCAGAAGCTGGGGATCATATAGTGGTTTCTATCCAAATCCTACTGACCCTTCACGTCCCACTTCAGAGTCTCCCTCCTCCACACAGCCCTCCCTGACTGCACCAGCTCCTAGTAATCTCAGAACTTCCCTTGTTCAGATGTCTGGTTGTCCAGGGAACTCATTTGGGCAAAGCAAATACCCACTGGATGACTGATTAATTGATCTAGACCCTTCCCAGTGTCTGCTTTTATTGGGAGGTTTTAAGGAAACCTCATTGCCCTTCTACATTGACTCATTTTGTGGGTCTAGACATATCTCTGGGGCTATTTCCGTGGGGGCTAGGATGAGGGGATCCCCCTGCCTGATGCTTTCTGAGATCCCTGCCAAGTTCTAAAGTAATAATTCTATAAGCTTGCCAGCTTGGCTAAGTCATTCAGACTCTCTGGGCCTCAGTTTCCTCATCTGTAAAATGAGAGGGTTGGACCAGCTGGCCTTGAGGACCCCTCTAGTTCTAGACCTAGGATGCTGTCTAATTACTGCCTGAGCATCTCCTTACCATCTATAACATGAGGGGGTTGGATTAGACAGCCTCTGAGGAAGACCTGAGTTCAAGTCCTGCCTTTGACCCATCCTAGCTGTGTGACCACAGGCAAGTTACCTAACCTCTCTGTGCCCCTAAAGGCTGCAGAGCAGGTGTCCATTGTAGGAATTCCTCACCCAGAGCTCCCTACATCCATACAATCACAAGTCCAGATGGTAATGACGGAAAACCTTTGTTACATCTATGCTATGCTCCAACCAAGCTGGTCCATTCTTTCTCCCCTAAATCTGCCTTCTTACCTCTAGACCTTTGCCTGGCATAGCCTCATAGGAAAACAGATTTAGAGCTGAAATGGGCCTCTACAGAGCCATCTATGTCAAACATCCTTCATCCTTTCATTTTATGGGTGAGGAAACTGAGGCTCATAGCAATGACTTGTCCAAGGTCATCTACATAGTAAGCATGAGAGTCAGGATTTGAACCCTGTTCCTCTTACTCTAGAACTACCTCCCCTGGAACATGCTGCCTCCCTCCTTTCCTGTGGAACCCCTTTGAACACCATTATTTATTTATTTGGGGGGGGGTTAGGCAATCAGGGTTCAGTGACTTGCCCAGGGTCACACAGCTAGTATGTGTCATGTGTCTGAGGTCGGACTTGAACTCAGGTCCTACTGACCCCAAGGCCAGAGCTCTATCCACTATGCCACCTAGTTGCCCCTAAACACCATTAAACACCAGCTTAAAAGCCACCTCCTCCAGAAAGTCTCCCCTCATCCTCATTCCTGAGGATTTCAGCCCTTTTTAACAACCCCCCAAGCACGTCTTTGTACCTCCCAGAAGTGCTCTTCACGTCACACAGTGCTGTACATTAGAGCTATCTGTGTGTAAGGAACATCCCCTACAAGACAACATGCTCCCTCAGGACAAGGGCAGTGCCTGAACTCGGCTTTGGCTGAAAGGAGGGTCCCATGGCATTATTCCTGCAGCGGCATGGCCTGCCCACCCCTGTGAAGGTTGCCCAGCTGTAGTGTTCAGTCAAAAGTCAGACAGGTGTCTGATGAAAGAATGAAAGTGGAAAGAGAATATAAGCATTTAAATAGCACCTACTAGGTGCTTCTCACAAATATCTTCTCATTTGATTCTCACAACAACCTGGCAGGTAGGTGCTATTATTATCACCATTTTACAGATGAGGAAATAGAGATAGACAGAGGTTAAGTGACTTGCCCAGGATCTCATAGCATAGATTTGAACTCAGGTTTTCCTGACTCCAGCCTGGCTCTCTATCCACTGTACTCCCAGCTGCCTGGAATGAATGAGCTATATGAATATATATGAATACATGAATGAATAAACAATTGAATGAATGAATGAATGAGCTATAGAGGGAAATATGCGGTCTCCAGGCAAGCCTCTTCCTCTCCAGTCAATCGAGTCTTTGCTGGACTACCCTCTGGCCCACCTTGTGCTGGATTTTGAAAAGCTCTAGGAAGCTTACTATAGAGGGGGGCGAAGTCTTCACAGTCTCACCCCCTTGACAAACACCACAAGCTTTTGAGCCCATGGGCAGACTGAGAGTGAGACCCCTCTACTGAGGACTATGAGATCATAACCCAGATGTGGAAGGGCACTCAGGACCTTTGCCCCCTATCATTTCATGGTGGAGATGCAATGAGTCACCCAAGGTCACACAGGCAGTAGGCATCAAAGCCACCTCCTTTGGCCCCAGAACAATACTTTCTCCACTGTCCGACAGTGTCTCCATTTGTCTGTATTGAATCACCATCTGAACACTGGCACCCCCAATCCTTGAAGTTGTTTGTGTCCTAGACCCCTTCAGTGGGTTGGTGAAGCCTATGGCCCACGTCTCAGATCAAAATGGATGAAAATGTGAAATTTCAGAGGCTAGTGAAAATAAAGGCATCAGGCCCCATCCTAGTTATGGACCAGGGAAACTGGGCAGCACACTGGGGAGAATATGGGGCCTGGAGTCAGGAAGACTCATGTTCCCAAGTTCAAATCCAGCCCTGGACACTTCCTAGCTGTGTGACCCTGGGCAAGTCATTTCACCCTGTTTGCCCCAGTTCCTCATTTGTCAAATGAGCTGGAAAAGGAAATAGCAAACCACTTCAGTATCTCTGCCAAGAAAACCCCAAATGGGGTCATGAAGAGTTGGACACAACGGAAGTGACTGCACAGCAGCAGAGTTTGTGGATGCCGTGAAATCCATCCATGCATCACCTGCAGGGGTTCATGGGCCCCAGACTAAGCCCCTCAGGCCTGCACGAAGGCTTCTCTGATTTTCCCAGATGTTAGAATTCTCTACATTTTGAAATGACATTGTATTGCTTTGTATGTACTAACTGAGGCGTGACCTCATCAGCTCCCATAAATCCAATGGTCATCTCTGTGCTTATGATGCCCAGATCTACCTACTCAGCCCTAGTCTCTGTCTCACATCTCCAACTATCTCCTGAACATCTTGAACGGGATGGGCTCCAGACATCTTCAAAATTCAGCATGTCCAGAACTGAACTCATCGACTTCCCGGCCAAGTCCTCCCCTCTCCCCATTACTGTGAAGGGCGCCACAACCCAGGCATCATTCTCGGCTCTTTCATCTCCCCCCCCCCGCCCATATCCAATTTATTGCTAGTCCTATTGATTCAATCTTCAAACATCTCTTTTATCCACCCCCTCCCCTCCTCTGAGAGCGACCCTATCCTGGTACAGGACACTCCACTCCTGGACTGTTGCAGTAGCCGCTGGCTGATATCCCTGCCTCGTCTCTCCCCGCCCCAGTCCAGCCCCCTCTCAGCTGTCAAAGCAGTCTTCCTAAAGCACAGGCATAACGACGTCACCTGCCTTACCCTCACACTTAATGCATCCCAGCAGTCCCCTATTGCTTCCAGGAGCAAACATAGAATCTGTTTGACTTTTAGAACCTCTCTGCACTTCTACCTTACTCCCTTCCCCTCCAGGTTCTGTGTGATCCAGTGACACCAGGCTATGCCTCACACAAGACCCTCCCTCTCTTGGTTCTGGGAATTTTTATTGGCTGCCGCCATTCCTAGAATTCTCCCCCTCCCCCTCGCCACCTTCTGGCTTCCCTGGCTTCCTCCCGATCTCAGCTAAAATCCCTCTTTCTACAGGCAGTCCTCTCTAGTCCCTCTTATAATTAGTGCCTTCCCTTAACTGATAATCCCCAGCTTATCATTTATCTGTCTTCTTTTTTTTTTTTGGTGAGGCAATCAGAGTTAAGTGACTTGTCCAGGGTCACACAGTGAGTATTAATGTGTCTGAGACTGGATTTGAACTTGGGTCCTCCTGACTCCAAGGCCAGAGCTCTATCCGCTGCACCACCTAGCTGCCCCTCCCTGTCTTCTTAATAGTTTGCGCGTGGACTGGATGCTCCTTGAGGGCAGGAACAGTTTTTTGCCTTTCTTTGTGTGTTACAATGTCCTGAACATAATGGTCACTTAATAAGTGTTTGTTGATTTGAGTTAATAGCGTGTGACCTTGTACAAGTCTCTTCCTTTCCCAGAGCCTCAGTATAGTCCTGCTCTCTAAAGCCCTCCCTCCTGCACCCCAAAGAAGGGTAGAGGAAGAAGCCCAATGAAACACTCCAGGTGTCATCAAAGAGCGCCTCTGCTTGGTCAGGAAGTTGCCTTTCCAGCTATTTGGGTGGGAGGACAAGGGTTTCTGAGGCCAAGGCTGGGCAGGATCCCACCAGCGCAGTCATCAGCCCCCATACCACAAAGAGTTGGGTTACAGGGGAGTGAGAGAGCCAGATCCCAGCCTGGGCACTGATTTCTCAATACTCCATTCATCTGGCAGAGGGAAAGGCCCTCCCACTGGAATAATTGCCTTTTGTCCTCTGGGGTTGGCCCTCCCTTCTCTTCTGAGGAGCTGAGGATAGTTGAAAGATAGGAGCTGAGATCTGGAGGAGAGGGTGGGGGCAGCTGATTCTCTTCCTGCGAGAACCCAGCCTCTCCAGCACCCAGCTCCAGCAGGGGAGCAGGAATCCTCCAGCCCCCATTTCCATGTCACCACCACCATCCCTGCTCTGGTGTCTGGACCCTCCTGGGAGTTGGAAGGATAGGAGCAGGGGCATCCTGGGGAGAAGATAATCTTTGGATTGGCCCCAGTCATCTCTGCCTCCCCCTGTACAATGGGAAGAGGAGAGATTGCCAGAGAGCTTTGTAAGGGAGGCACTCCTGCCCCCTTCCCCACCAAGGGGTGTGTGTGTGTGTGTGTGTGTGTGTGTGTGTGTGTGTGTGTGTGTGTGTGTGTATGTTGTAGATACTCTAGCCCTGTTCTCCCTCATACCATCCCAACTCCCTTCCCTAACATCTCATAGCCCCTGCTTTCAACCCCAAGGATCTTACCAATTACTAGCTTGAGAAGGGGAGAAAGATAGTGGAAGATGGGAAGGGCTGGGAGGCCTTTTGGAAAGGTCTGGACAGAACTTTTCCTTGTCCTTCTTAATTTACTGTGGATAGTGATATCAAGCACCTAAGTCAGAGAAGAACAAGTGGGTTCATCCTCTCCCTCTATACCTCCTTCTTAATCATGATAGATTTAGAGCTGGAGGGGATTTGAGGACATTTAGCCCAACCCTCTCATTTTACAGATGAGAACACTGAGGCCGAGAGAAGGATGAAGTGATTTGTCTAAGGTGATGCAGACGATAAGTGGAAGAGCTGAGATTCAAAGCCAGACCTTGGGACTCCAAATTCAACACTTTCCACCACATCACCTCTTCCTTCCCCCCATTTTCATCAAAGAGAGGCCTCAATTTCCAGGTCTAACAGGCCCAGCTTCCTGAAGCCAGCAAAGCAGGTTCCTGTACAAGGTCCACTCCAACCCAGTTTTATGAAATGGCCCTGGCAGAAACCACAGCATTCAGCATAACAAGATTACGAGGGAAGGACAGTTCTATAGGAATGCCCTGGGCGGTTGGCCCAGTGGTACCATAATGGGACTTTGGAACATCATGATCAGATTGGGCGATCCATGATGTTATTGAGAAACAGCTTGGTCTGGGACGAGGTTAGGTAGGGAAGACCTGGAGGGCCGGCAGCTTCTAAAATAATCACATTGATGGAAGCCTTTTAGACCAGCTCTGAATGATACCTGAGCACCCAAAGTCTGGGAGGAGACCTTTAAGCTTGTTTTCTTTCCGGTTCCCTCAAGACTTCAATTAAATCTAGCTCTTTGCAAATGCCCCTTCTAACGTGCCCCTGGCCAAAAGAGAATAAAAGTGTACATACCTGGCTGGGATTTCTTCAGCTTTATTTGTCTTCCGCCTCCTTCTTCCCCTCTTCCCTCCTCCTCCTCCCCCTTAGAAACAGCTGGTGATTAAAAAATCAATCAATACAAGTCAGGAGTCATTGCTTCCTCTCCCCTGAGGGAGGCCACACTGGGGGTGGGTGGGGGAAATACAGAAAGCTTTTTTTCTACAAAAATAAATGGAAGGAAAAAACAGAAAGAGGAAGGGAGAAGAAGGAAATCGCTCATCTGTCCCCTGCCCACTGGTCGCCTCTCCAGATGGGGGAAGCCGGGCTCGGGGGGGTTGGAGTGGCTGGAAATCCCCACTCGCTTCCAGCATGACACCCTGGACCCCACACGGAAGGGGAAGGAGGAGAGGGAGATAACAAAAGGCAGGAACACATCCTGAACAGATTGGGAGGGCTGAGGTCGGGAGGCAGCTCAGGTTTCAGGGAGGCAGACCTGCCCTGGCTCTGGCCCTGCAGTGCAGGAAAAGGAAGGAAGGATTCAGCTCATCACATCGGACCCAAACTCTCTACCTTGGCATTCAAGGCCCTCCTCAAGCCCACTATGCCCTACCTTTCCAGCCTCCTCTCACGCTCCTCCCTTAAAATGGACCCTCGGCTCCAGTCAGGTCAGGCTCCTACTGACCCAGGTCACATTGTGCTTATTTCTGATTCTGTCTCTTCTCCCTCCTTCTCTGTCCAAATTCTAACTGCCCTTCAAGGCCCAGCTCAAGTCTCACCTCCATGAAGCCATTTCCTTCCTGTGTGACCCAGAGCCAATCACTTCCCTCCCCTTCCTAGTTTTCAGTAAAGGTTGAAAGGGATGATGACTAAGCTCCCTTCTACCTTGAAATCCTCTAATCCTTCCCAATCCATTCTAGCCTCAGAGTGATCTTTCCAGCTTCTGACCTCATGGCCATCATCATGTCCAGTATAACAGGGGCAAGCTAATGGAACAGGCTGTCAGGGTTCACAGGATGGACACATGCTGGGCGTTCAGGACCAGAGGCTTCTGGGTAATCCCTCAGTCTACCATGGAGGCTGATGAGGCTAAGTGTATTCGTGGGTCACTTCTGGTAAGACTCACTTTGGCCTCTCACTTTTTTTTTAAAGTTTAATTCCGACCTTAAACACCAAGAGAAAGAGACAGAAACAGCAACAGAGAGAGAAAAAGAGACAGAGAGCACATATTTCTATACAGCAGAACACAAAAATTATATATTTATGAATATATAAAATGGTAAATATTTATTTCATACTGCTTGCTTACAAAAAAAGTATAATAAATTCTATACATTTACTTTCAAAACTGTCCTGTTTGTATCTACTTCTTCCTGAAAATCCTTCTTTTGTGCATTTCAACAAACATTACAATGGCACTCTTTTTTTTCACATCCTTATTGCCAATTCCATCCATAGAATGGAGGCTCCTTGAAGGCAAGGCCTATTTTGTTCCAGTCTTTGTATGTCCAGAATCTAACATAGTATATACCCTTAGTAGGAATTAAATACATTTTTTAGTTTGTCAAACTAAGTTGAGTGATATGATAGGATCCTCACCACAACCCTATGAGGAAGACTCTATACGTTTTACTGTCCCATTTTGCAGATGCACAAACAGGCCCACAGCAGTAAAAATGGCTTGGCCAACATCACACAGCTAGTAAGAGGCAAAAAGAGGTTCAATATCACATCGATGCCCAGGTCTCCTGATTTCAAGTCCAGTAGTACAGCTAGAATGCCATACTGCCTTATTTGCCTCAACGACAAAGCACATTTATTAAGCACTTACTGTTTATAGGGCACTGGCTTAGGTGCTTCCAAGTAATTCTATAATGGGGAGGAAGGAGTTGGGGCAGATATGACAGAGGGATGTAAGAAGTTTGCATATAGATGAGACCTCCAAAATGGCGGCATGAAAAGAACTCTGAATTGGGAGTCAAGAGAGCTGGGTTCTAGATCCAGTTCTTCCACTAGCCCCCTCCCCACTCTGTGACTTGGACTAGTTTGCTTCTCTTTAATGGTCTTGCTTTCTGCTGCAAAATGAAGTTTGAACTTGACCAGTAGCTGTCAGCCTTTTCAGGCAAGACTCTTTTTCAATGAAAAAAATGGAACTTCACAATAACAATTGTATTCAGTATCTGTTGATTAAGAAAATATGCAAAGACAAAAAGTTAATCTAAATTCAGTAACATTTTAGAAGAACTTTATATCTCATTTATAAGTGTGTATATATACAGTATTTATATACATTTCAAAAATATAAAACATACATTTATGAGATATTGCAGCCTAAGCCCTTTGGTTGTGGGCTCCCTTAAAATTACTTCTAGTTCAAGTTATGCTTTGGGTCAGCATCTACTAAAATTAATAATAATAATCTTCCACCAATATTTCTTTTATCAGACTAACTAAAAGAGAAAGAAGAAATTCTCTCTTACACGTAAGACTCCATTTTCCCACAGGTTAACATATCAATTAATGTATATAATGAAACATACCTGACACAAAAACATACATGGGAGCAGGCAAACTTAAAAGGAATACATATGGATAGGAAAGATGAATTCCTAAGGAATTCCTATGGAGAGAACAAATAGACTTGAAACACATATGGCTAAGTAGTCACATGTGGAAGAGGACACACATATAGGGAATACAGAATGGCAGGGAATGAACATATGTGGCCAAGCAGTTCATGCCCCTAGGGCAGTGTTCTGACTGGAATATCCCTCTGGGTTTTTTGCTTCTGTTTTCTTTTCTGCAAAATGAATGTTACCTGCCCTATTAGTCATATGATCAAGTTAAAAGCTTCGAGGTCCACTGCTGGTCTAGTCTTTCAGATACTTCTACTCACCAGGACTCCTTCAAAGACACTAACCTCCCAGTTCCTCCATTTCCTCACTTCACATGACCCTTTCCTCCACCCTACCTCAGCTACCTATGGAGATGGGCACACCTTGATCTTGTCATCAATCACAAGTGCTTTACTTTCATGTTCATAAATTTTGAAATTCCTTTAGCTGATCATAATCTTTTCTCATTCCACCATTCTCTTTACTTTATATCTCCTAACTCTGTTCTTCATCCTCACCCTGACCTCCAATCCCCTCACCCATCAGTTCTTTTCTGGGTCATCATCCTTAGCCTGGCTATACTCTCCTGCCTTCCCCATCTTGACCATTTGGTAAGCCAGTTCAACTCTGTACTTCTCTCTCCTTTGCCCTCCTATACTATCACTGATCTTGTCTTGCTAAGCCTCAGACTTGGATTAATGCCATCATTTGTTGCCTTTTCTCCTATTCACATGCTGCTGAATAAATCAGGAGAAAAATCACAGAACCAGTCTCAGTCCACTGCATATTCATGTTACATAATATCACCTGGGTCCTCACTGCAGCAGGGCAATTGTATTACACCTTTTTAATCTACTCATGATCCCACTCACCACAGCATCTTTTCCAAATTTTTTCATCCCTTCTCAAACTTCCCAGAGCCCCTCCTCTTTCCACCCTGTCAGCTCAGAACCTTGTCTCATATTTCACAGAAGAAAAAAAAAATGAAACCATTCACCAAGAGCTCCCTCTTCTCTCCCGTTCTCATCTTACCTCACTCAGATGCCTTCAGCCATTTTCTTCACTTTAGCCTCACACAAAGTGGCCCCTATACCTTGTCAAGGCAAACTCCTACAAATGCACAAGTGATCCCGTTCCATCCTGTCTTCTCCAGAAGATTGGCCCCCTCAGATAAGTTTAGAAAAGCCTGGAAAGACTTCTATGAAGTGATACAAAGTGAAGTGAGCAGAACCAGGAAAACATTGTACAAAGTAACAGCAATATTGTTGCAATGGCCAATTTTCAAAGTCTTACCAGCTCTAATCAATTCAAAGACAATTCCAATAATCAATACTGAGACAATTTTAAAAGACTCATGATGAAAAATGCTATCTACTTCCACAGAGAGAACTGATGAACTCTGAGTATAGATTGAAGCATACTTTTTTCATTTTCATTTTCATTATTTTTCTTTTTCGGTAACATGGCTAATATGGAAATATGTTTTTCATGACTTCACATGTACATCTGATATATTGCTTGCCTTTTCAATGGGTGGGGGAAGGGCAGAGAATTTAGAACTAAAAAAATTTTTTTAAAGGAATGCTTATGAACTGATGCAAAGTGAAGCAAGCAGAACCAGGAGAACATTGTACACGATAACAGCAACATTGTGCGATGACCAACTTTGATAGACTTAGCTCTTCTCAACAATGATCCAAGACAATTCCAAAACACTCATATTGGAAAATGCTGTCCACATCCAGAGAAAGAACTGATGGACTCTAAATGCAGATCAAAGCAGACTATGTTCACTTTCTTTATTTTTTTCTTGTAGTTTTTTTTCCTTTTGTTCTGTTTCTTCTTTCACAGTATGACTAATATGGAAATATACTTTACATGATTATGCATATATAACCTATATCAAATTGCTTACTATCTTAGGGAGGAGGGTAAGGAGGGAGAGGAGGGGAGCAGGGAGAAAATTTAGAACTCAAATTTTTATTTAAAAAATTAATGTTAAAAATTGTATTTACATGTAATTGGAAAAATAAATACTGCTTAAAAGAAAAAATATATGTTCTACATGATAGCACATGTATAAACTATATCAAACTGCCTACCATTTTCAGAAAAAGGGGAAGGGAGAAAAATGTGGAGCTCAAAATCTTGTAAAAATAAATGCTAAAAAATTTTTTTGTATGTAATTAGGGAAAAATAAAATACTACTTGAATTTTAAAAAGAAAGAAAAATAAAAATAAAGATCAGCAAAAAATAAAAAAGGAGTGTTTAAAAATAAATAATGATTTTTTAAAAAAGCTCATCCCCTCTATAATCTCTGTTAATCTTATCTCTCCTTGTTAATTGGCTACTTCCCTGATGCCCATAAATATGCCCACATCTCCCACATCCCCCAAACCTCCTAACTTGCCTCATCTATCCCTACTAGCTATGGCTCTATTTGCCTATTGCCTCCCCTTCGTGGCCTTGAGAAAGCTGTCTACAACTAATGCCTCTACTTCCTACCTTCTCACTCTCTTAAGGCCTTGCTTTTCCTCACACACCACATACCACACTCCATTTCCTGATTCTGGGCATTTTCACTGGCTGTCCCCCATATCTGGGATTCTCTCCCTCCTTATTTCCTCTTCCTGGTTTCCCCGGCTTCTTTCAACTCCCAGCTAAAATCTCACCTTCTACAAGGAGCCTTTCCCAACCTCCCTTAATGCTGGTTGGTCTCCTGGCCTCAAGTTTTCCCCACTCAAG